TTAATACACAGGGTCTCACTCTGTTGCCCAAGGTGGAATGCATTGGTGCGATCACAGCTCACTGAAGCCTCGACTTCCCCAGGCTCAGGTGATCCTCCCACCTCAGCCTCCCAAGTAGCTGGCACTACAGGTGTGCACTTCCATTCCCAGCTAATTTTTGTATTTTTTGTAGAGATAGGGTTTCGCCATGTTCCCCAGACTGATCTGGATCTCCTGGGCTCAAGTGATGTGTCTGCCTCAGCTTCCCAAAGTGCTGGGATTACAGGCATGAGTTACCGCACCCAGCCTGGCTAATTCTTATATTTTACTTCTTAATTAACTCTAAGCAAGATATAGGATATATAGTGTCTCTGCATTTTATATAGTTAGACAGCCTGAGACCTGGGAAGTTTATTTGCCTAATTTCAAATGGATAAGTAGGTTTAAACTGTGGTGCTTTGACTCCTGTTAAATACTTTTTCTACTCTTCTATGCTGCTAAGATTACTTACTTAGAAATTCAGGAAAGAACTTTTGACCTTTCTAATCTCTTGTTATTCATAGTAAAATCCTGGGGATCTCATTTGTAGGGATACTAATATCTCATCTGAAACATACTTATTCAATGAACCACTTTTCTCCTAAAATTGGTTGCTTGCATACCATAAAATAATTATAGAGGCTGGGAGCGGTGTTCCATGCCTGTAATCCGAGCACTTTGGGAGGCCAAGGTGGGCAGATCACCTGAGGTCAGGAGTTCAAGACCAGCCTGGTCAACATGGTAAAACTCTGTCTCTACTAAAAATTCAAAAATGAGCTGTGTGTGGTGGTGCATGCCTGTAATCCCAGCTACTCAGGAGGCTGAGGCACAAAAATTGCTTAAACCCAGGAGGCAGAGGTTGCAGTGAGCTGAGATTGCACCATTGTACTCCAGCCTGGGTGGCACAGCAAGACTCTGTCTCAAAAAATAAAATAATTCTAATTGCCCTTTCTTTTTAACAGTATTTGCCTGTATTCAGAACAAAAGAAAGCTTGGAAAAGGTGGTGGTGGTTGGTCATTTTTTTTTTTAAATATATGCATTTGCTTTTAAGAACAATTTTTATTCCATTTCTATGAAATGTAAAGTTAAAGCCCCAACTTGTTTAGTTTGAAATATTACTTGCAATTGTTCTTATAAACTGGCTGATTGATAATGAGCTAGCTACTATTTAAATGTCTAAGCTTTCCTCGTTTCTCATTTTGTTATCAGCTCTACAAAACACAGACTCGATCAGATCTTTTCTAGGTAATTTTAATTTAGTAATATGTTACTTTTAAATATTTGGACTAGGTGTAAATTTATATAACTTATTTTAATAATACCTGATTTGTGCTTTTATTACTGTTTTTAATAGGCAAGAAAACAGCATATTACTGGTGAAAGCTTACTGGAATGAACTTTTTACTCTTGGTCTTGCCCAGTGCTGGCAAGTGATGAATGTAGCAACTATATTAGCAACATTTGTCAATTGTCTTCACGGTAGTCTTCAACAAGGTAAAAAGCACCTTCCTTACCTTTTCCAGGATGTAGAAGGCATGAGTTTCATTGCATGTTATGACTAAAGTTAGATAGCTAATAATTAGCGTTTTAGGTACCAAAGCTCTTCTTTAGATAATTTTTACAATTGTATAAATTCACGGGTCATCTAAAAATGTTTTTTAAAGAGAGTAAAATAAAATCGAAGACAGTATACTTAAGTATGGCAGGCTATTTCAGACCAGGCCTTGTGAATTTTCGTGCAACTATCAAAGAATCCAGGGTGAGCTTCTGTAGAGGGGATCAAATATTTTAAAATATATACTGCTCAACAATTTTTGAACTGCCTTTCTTTATTATAACCCTTTGAATCCTAAGATAGATTGATTTTGTATCAATTCATCAGGGTGTATTCTCTCACCTAAACAGTTCTGAAGAGTCAAGGAACAATACTTTTTATTCTATTTTTCCTTTCCTAGATGCCAAGGTAATTGCAGCTCTCATTCATTTCACGAGACGACCACTCACTGACTTATAAATGCTTAACTATAGAATGGTTTATGATTACCCCAAACGGTGCCCCATCAACAAATGGGGAAAATTGCCTTTTGAGCTCAGGAATAATTTATAAATTGGGGACTACCTTTTAGTTCCCTAGCATATTCTATTTCTTGTTTTATATAATTTTTAAGTCATTTGCTTCTTCCTTATATTTAATAGCAGAGGGGTAATCACCTTAAAATGTCATCAAAAATAGATCTACCAGAAGGCAGCATCACATTCCCATCTTACTTACGGACTCCTACCCCTGGTTCATGTCTTACATGCCTGTAATGGTTATAAAGCCTACCTTCAGGAAAGCTGTGATTGACAGATTACTAATGGATGTGTTTTACATATGTCCCTCTGCTATAAATTAAAATCTTTTTTTCCCCAAAGTCAATAACACACTTTTAAATATTAAAATCTTTATTGTAAAACTTTATTCTGCCTCAGTTTTCTTTCTTCTTAACAACATTTTTATTAGGTATTTGTTTTTATTATAGTAGTCTTGGTAGTAAAACATGTAGATGGTTTTGCTCATTTTTTCCCAACCAATATAAGTTTAAATAAAGTCCTATTACCAAAATTTGAGTCTTATTCTAGTTTTCCAGTGTTTTAGATGGTTATCTTTACATTCTGTCTTCTCAAAGGTGTATCTTGAAAGCAAACATTTCAGCCAGGCGAGATGGCTCACGCCTATTATCTCAGCACTTTGGAATGCTGAGGTGAGATTGCTTGAGCCTAGGAGTTTGAGACCAGCCTGGACAATACAGTGGTACCCTGCCTCTACAAAAAAATTTTTAAAAATTTGTTGGCCACGGTGGCACATACCTGTAGTCCCAGCTACTTAGGAATCTGGGGCAGAGGATTACTTGAGCCCAGGAATTTGAGGTTGCAGTGAGCTATGATTGCACCACTGCACCCTAGCCTGGCCAACAGATTGAGACCCATTTCTTTTTCTTTTTTTTTAAAAAGGAGCCATTACGTTTAAAGTTTTTCTTTTTTGTTTTTTTTAAACAAGTAAGGTGCCATAAACATTCACATAATCCATTTTTTATATATAATTTTTTCCAAAAGCAATTACCATGAGAAACTAATTCATTTTTTAAAAGTACTTTTGCAACATCAAAAGAATTAAGATGAAATATAAACCTGGCTGGGTGTGGTGGCTCACAATTTGGGAGGCTGAAGCAGGCAGATCACTTTAGGTCAGGAGTTCAAGACCAGCCTGGCCAACATGGGGAAACCTTGACTCTACTAAAAATACAAAATTTGGCCATGCATGGTAATGTGCACCTGTAGTCCCTGCTATTCGGGAGGCTTGAGGTGGGAGAATTGTTTGAACCCAGGAGTTGGAGGTTGTAGTGAGTCAGGATCACCCACTGCACTCCAGACTTGGGCAACAGAGCGAGACTCTTGTCTCAAAAAAAAATAAATAAATATAAACCTTTCTACTTAGAATTTTTATACAGATTGTATACTAACAGCTTCTTGTTGAATGAACAGTATCTTAAGATGATTAATTTTAGCTATAATTGCAGAAATACTGAATTTTAAACATTTCTACATTGATTATACTCAAAGCTTAAAAATTCATGAGAGGAAGGCCAGGCACAGTGGCTCATGATCCCAACACTTTGGGAAGTATAGGTGGGCTAATCACTTGAGCCCAGGAGTTCAAGACCAGCCTGGGCAACATGGTAAAAGCCCATCTTTATGAGAAATACAAACATTAGCTGGGCAGAGTAGCATGCACCTCTAGTCCCAGCTACTTGGGAAGCTGAGGCAGGAGAATTGCTTGAATCCAGGAGGCGGAGGTTGCAGTGAGCCAAGATGGCCCCACTGCACTCCAGCCTGGACAACAGGAGTAAAACCCTGTCTCAAAAAAAATTTAAGAATTAGAAAATTTTTCAGAATTCCTGAGGGAAATGCATTGGATGAAAGTAGTTCATTTTAGACAGAAACTAGAAACATTTGTTTATTTTTAATTAAAGATAAAATGTCAACAGAAAGAAGAAAATTGTTGATGGACCACATCTTCCGACTACAGGAGTTTTGTAACAGCATGGTTAAACTCTGCATTGATGGATATGAATATGCCTACCTGAAGGCAATAGTACTCTTCAGTCCAGGTATATAAACATTTACTATTCATTCAAAATAAAATGTTTCAGGATGTGGAGAAATAGAAACCCTCATATGTTGCAAGTGGGAATGTAAAATGGTGCAGTTGCTTTGGAAAAGAGTTTAGTGGTTCTTCAAAAGGTTAAACGTGGAGTTATATGACTCAGCAGCTTCACTTATCAGCCCAAGAGAAATGAAAATATGTATCTGTGCAAGAATGTGTATCTAAATAGAGCAGCATTATTCATAATAGCCAAAAAGTGGAGACAACCAAAATGTCCGTCAACAGATGAAGAAATAACTAAAATGTAATATATACATGCAATGGAATATCATTAAGGCATAAAAAGGAAGGAAATTCTAGTACCTACTACAATACGGATGAACCTTTAAAATGTTCTGCTAAATGAACGTTTTTGATTTCATTTATATAAAATATGCAAAATAGGCAAACCTGTATAGACATAAAATAGGTAAGTGGTTGCCACAGGCCAAGGAAAAGGAAAAAACGGGAAGTGACTGCTAATAAGTGTTTTTTTTTTTTTTTTTGGAGTGACAAAAATGTTCCAAAATTAGGTTGTTCTGATGGTTGTACCACTCTGTGAAAATACTATATATATTTTTTGAGTCTCACTCTCTCACCCAGGCTGGAGTGCAATGGCACAGTCTTGGTTCACTGCAACCTCTGCCTCCCATGTTCCAGTGATTCTCCTGCCTCAGCCTCCACAGTTGCTGGGATTAGAGGCATACACCACCACGCCTGGCTCATTTTTGTATTTTTAGTAGAGACAGGTTTCACTATGTTGGCTAAGCTGATGTTGAACTCCTGACCTAAGGTGATCTTAGGTCTTTGGGAGGCCTTGCTTAGCCTCCCAGAGTTCTGGGATTACAGCCGTCAGCCACTGCACCCAGCCTGAATTGTACGCTTTAAATTGGTGAATTTTAACGATGTTAGACATTTATCAGGATATAAAAAGGGAGGTTGAGAAGTCTGTGAAATAATATGATAGACTTAGGCAGGGTGCAATAGCTCATGCTTGTAATCCCTACACTTTGAGAGGCCAAGGTGGGAGCATTGGTCAGAAGTTGGAGAAGCCTGGGCAACATAATGAGACCTCTTCTCTACAAAAATCAAAATGGAAAAAATCAGCTGGATGTGCCGGTGTGCACCTGTAGTCTCAGCTACTCAGGAGGGTGAGGTGGCAGGATCACTTGAGCCTGAGAGTTTGAGGCTGCAGTGAGCTCTGGTCATGCCACTGCATTGTAGCCTGGGAGACAGATAGAGATGCTGTCTCAGAAATAAAATATAAAAAAATATTATAGACCTCTATTTCTGTTGCCACATCAAGGTATATAAGAAATTATGAAATCATAAATATCTCTATTAAAAAAATTATAATAGAAATATGAAACACTCTAAGCATTTCAGTGGTCACTATAACATTTCACAAAAACAAATTTTAAAAGAACTTCATAAAAATGATGCCTTGAATTCTTAGGTGTGTATTTTTTGGCATTACTAAATGGCAGAATGAGAGATGAGTATTACTATGATGATGGGTTAAATTTCCAAACATCTTATATGAGTTACCAGCAAATAGAAAAACTGTCTCTTGTTTCCTGCCAGTTTACAGTTTTCATAGATGATAAAATGATGGTAAACTCTCAATGATCAATTTCTGAACAAGAGAAATTGTTCTTTAAGTTAGGTTCTGTATTTTTCAGTCTGATCAATGTTCCTGTTCTTGTGCATCATAATAAAATTATCTGAGCAAACCTGCTTCTTTCTGCCAGTGATACAAGTAAGAACATTAAAGCCTGTTGTACTGTTTCTTCTAATGTTTCTTATGAGTTAGTAACATATGTGTCTATTCTTATCACAATTTGTCACCTTCATTTTCCTCAGGTGAAAATTGAAAGAACATAGATTTGAAGTTTATATTCTTTTTTTTTTTTTTTTTTTTTTTTTTTTTTTTTTTGAGACGGAGTTTCCCTCTTGTTACCCAGGCTGGAGTGCAATGGCGCGATCTCGGCTCACCGCAACTTCCGCCTCCCTGTTCAGGCAATTCTCCTGCCCCAGCCTCCTGAGTCGCTGGGATTACAGGCACGCGCCACCATGCCCAGCTAATGTTTTGTATTTTTAGTAGAGACGGGGTTTCACCATGTTGACCAGGATGGTCTCGATCTCCTGACCTCGTGATCCACCCGCCTCGGCCTCCCACAGTGCTGGGATTACAGGCTTGAGCCACCGCGCCAGGCCTGAAGTTTATATTCTAATGTATTGATTTTAATTTTATTTTACTAAGTATTTTTAGGATTTTCCATTTATTACTTTTAAAAATTTTCATCCATGAGAACAGAGCTTTCCATATTCAACATTTCTTCAGCAAGGCATAATTTTTATGAAGTTCTTTTAATATTTCTGTTTTTGTTAAATGTTACAATGATCATTGAAATACTTACAGATTATTTCACATTTCTGTTATACTTTTTCTGATAGAGATGATATTTATGGTTTCATAATTTCTTATATATCTTTTTACCTAAAATTAATGGAATTTTTATCTTATAAAAATATGGCATAGAATATAATCTGCAAATATTTCTTGGATTTAAAATGTCTTTTTAAGCTGAGTCATTTTAGCCTTTTACTCTTGTTAAAAGCAAAGTTACCAAATGCCTTCCTATTACTTTTGGAATGGAGAAAAAACTGTTTATTTTGGTAACATCCACTTGTTTATTAGTTGTTGGCATATGTATATCAGATAAAAAAAAATTTTAAATATGTAAAATATAGTGCTTGGTGCATAGTAGGTGGGCTCAGTCAGTATTTGTGGAATGAATGAGCCACAGATTTTATGATAGGGTTCTTTTTTGACTTAACTATTCTTTCCATCTCCACTGTCTTAAATGAACATTCAGAACTACGGTGCCAATGTATTCTTTAATGTTTCAGATCATCCAGGCCTAGAAAACATGGAACAGATAGAGAAATTTCAGGAAAAAGCTTATGTGGAATTCCAAGATTATATAACCAAAACATATCCAGATGACACCTACAGGTATCTAGAGTTAAATACTATATAATTAAAATAATTTAAAAACCTTTTGTGGATCTGTTTTCTCATTATTTCTAGTTTTACAGTAATTATGCGTTTTAGGCAGTCTTAACCTTTGAAATGCTAATGCTATAAAAAATAGTATTGCATTGTTGCAAGTACGTTACATAAAATATTTCATCTAGCTCTTGCATTTTATATAAGAGGAGGCTTCAACACAGGTTACCTTTACTCAAGGTCACATAGTAAATGATAGCACCTGTCTGTGAACCCAGGTAGTCAGACTCTAAAGTCCAAACTCTTTCTCTTCAGATGAAATAATGAATTTTGTTAGTAAAAAGAGGATAAAAAATAATCAGAAACCAGCCTAGACAACATGGTGAAACCCTGTCTCTACAAAACAATGTAAAAATTAGCCGGGGGGTCGGGGGGTGGTGATGGCACATGCCTGTAGTCCCAGCTACCCAGTAAGCTGAGGTGAGACTGCAATGATCACTTTGCTGTGATCACTTTGCTACACTCCAGTCTGGGTGACAGAGCGAGACCCTGTCCAAAATAATACTAAAAAATAACAAACAGCATTAGACTATTTTATAATTAATTTTGAAACATGGCTTATGAAATTCTGTCCAAGCTATTGCTGGCCAATGTTCTTTGAGAAAACTTTTTTTATAAGAGCCACTTTCTTTTTAAAGAGGGACATTATAGCCAAGGGGTTAGGCACATGGTTACAGAGCCAGAGTATCTGGATTTGAATCCTGACTCTGGCACTTACTAGTTTCATAACCTTGGGCACATTTCCTTACCTATAAATGGAGATAATAATAGTAGTCACTTTTTACAATTAAGGATTAAATCAGTTAATATATGTAAAGTGCTTAGGACTGTGCCTATCATATAGTAAAGGCTGTTTAAGTGTGTTTGCTTCTAATAAATAAAACATCTTATTAGTTTAGCATACTTCAAACTAGTAAAATAACATTTTTAAATATAATTTTTTATATATATTAAATAATGTAGATTTATAAACCAGTCTCATCTCAAATATCAACCTTAGTTTATCTAACTTGTTTTCCTATCCTGCTTTCTACCAGTTCTGTAGATGCTGAGTAATTTGTGGATGCTGAGTAATTTGAGAAGTAGAGCACACAGCTACAGGAAGATCACTTCATCCTGGGGGCTGCTGGTCTCATTTGGTCTGAAGTGTTAAGAGTGCAAGGCCTTAGGACAGAAGGATAAACCCACCACAATCTTTTTGGAAAGGTGGTTTTGTTGTGGTTGTTTTTCAGCATCTTTAAAAGTTACTCTAGGCCAGGCGCGGTGGTTCACGCCTGTAATCCCAGCACTTTGGGAGGCCAAGGCGGGTGGATCCCCTAAGGTCAGGAGTTCGAGACCAGCCTGGCCAATGTAGTGAAACCCCATCTCCACTGAAAATGCAAAAATTAGCTGGGCATGATGGCGGGCACCTTTAATCTTAGCTATTCGGGAGGCTGAGGTAGGAGAATCACCTGAACCCGGGAGGAGGAGGTTGCAGTGAGCCAAGATCGAGCCATTGCACTCCAGCCTGGGTGACAGAATAAGACTCGTCAAAAAAAAAAAAAAAGAAGGTCACTCTATACCTCATTAAAAATAAATTTTTACTCCTTTGTGACTGTACCTCTTTCTCAGTTTTTTACATTCTTGCTTACTTAAAAACAATACATTGTCCGTGGATAGCAGTTTTCAACTTATAAGGCAGTTTCACACAAGATAGGGTCCTGCCCTAAGGAACCTCACCACCTGGCACAGAAACTGGCAGGGATCATTTCATTCATTCTTGCAACAGCATTGTGAGAGACAGTGAGTAAGTGGCATGCACACATTTATATAGGTAGTGGGCAGTTCAATCAAGATTTGAACCCAACAGTCTTGATTCCGCATTCTCTGCTCTTCCCAGTAATAGCAACTGTTGCCTGTTTTGCCATTTCCAGTAGTTTTTTTGCAGAGCAAAACCAAGAAAATGTCTTATGTCCTGATAACACAAAACATTGTCATTCTTAAAACCTGAAAGGAGTTTTTGTTTTTTGTTGTTTTTTTTTTTTTTTTTGAGGCAGAGTATTGCTGTTACCCAGGCTGGAGTGCAATGGCGCGATCTCGGCTCAC